TTTTCAACTCAAAATATCTTCAAACTAACGAAATATAAAGTTATTAGTGAAGAAAACCCGTCTGGATAACAGCAGACTGACTGCTCATAAAATATAAGTCTGGACCACACGTGAATTTTGTTTGTATCTGAAAAAAATCTTARAATACGAAAACATTGGTGAATGCCACAAATTCTCCTAAATCACTCGTACACACAACTTAAGAACAAATCTGTGCGTAYGAACGGTTCTTGCACGAGGTCCAATGTTTTGTTGACGGACATGTAATGTGTCGTATGTGGTGCTTTTGTTTTCACCAGTTGGTTTAATTAAGAACACAAAAAAAGTTCCTTTGTACCACTAATAAAATTTTAAACGATTTCAAAGCAAATCTTCCTGATACACTGTGACACATAGTAATTTGTGATAAATAATACATATGTGTCGTAGTGAAAATATTCCTCAGGTTATTTGTTTGTTGAGTTTTTACTTCGAACCAAGTCGTGTGCGCTCATATCAGTGAGGTTGCACAGATCATTTGTGAGATAAGTTAAAACCTATCATAGCATTAGGTTATGATAAACGTATTTAGGATTTAAAATCAAACATACTGATGCAGTTATTTTGTACCTAGAGCACAAATAGTTCAAGAATGAACACAGACCGTTAAAAGTATGTTCCTTGTAAATTTTGCAAAAGGAGTTTTGGATGGTGTTTTATTGGAAATGTATTCAAGTGGATGCCATAAGACTAATTAGTCAAGTCCACTCCTACTGTCTGCTAATGGGAATATCTGAGCAAGAAAAAAAATAATTCACTCTTTTCCCAAAAGCAGAAAATAAAGTCATGATCTACCTTTAAAGATTTTAAGCACTTTATTTGTTTCCATCTCTTTGGGTTTTAAAATAGCATAAAAGCTGAAGCAGTTGATTTTTTTTTCATGGACAGTGTTAATAACTACCCTTTTGGCAAACAACACAACTTGTAAACCGTTTATTTATAGTCTGATAAGAGCTGGTTTGGAGGGATCTTTGGTTGTTTCATTTGTAGAAGAATTCAAGTTGTGATCTATTCTGGCCTGTCTACTGTTCATGATGCTTTGAAGGTCCATCATCAGGTTTCAATTGTTGTAAAGGTCAACAGACTGACATTCAACCTTCAGTTTGTGGTGGAGGACATCAGCACCTGACATTCACTGACCACATGCTGCAACACAAACCCAAATCATAATCCATACAAACTTGTGCTAAAACATTTTACTGGGGTTATTTCTTTCGGTTCATTTTATTTTCCTGCTAACACTCARTTATTTCCTGCATAAAAATAACATTTCCATTCACCTTAGTTTCRAAATTTCTAAAGATTAAGGAAAGGTTTTCTTCGCTGCCCTGTTCTGTGACTCACATGTGCAAGTTGTGCAATCTTCCTGTGGTCCTTTTTTTAATTAACAAAGACTACCAACAGTTTTCTTTTTTYCCCCTTTCTCCCATTTCAATCAATCAGTCTTTATTTGTACAGCACCTTTTCAAGTTCAGCAAAAAGTGCATTACAGAAACAAATTTCAATGAACATACAATGAAAGTAGACAAAGAACAAAACAAAGGCTAAAACACAAAAAAATTAAAATACAGCACGAAGTTCATAACTGTAAAACAAATCAGTAAGTCTTACAAAATGGGTTTTAAKATTAGTTCTAAAATCGTGTGAATGTGACAGACTTGACAGACCCAGACTGAGAACTGGTTCCAGGGAGTCTGATAATTAAAGACTCCAAATCTGGACTTACTGATTTTTGAGACAATTAGGACTTTTTTTTTTCTGAGGAGACATGGGCCAAGACTTTCAGAAACCTAAAAAAATAGACACCTGAAAGCAATTTGCTGTGTTGTCATGACCTTCCTCTCCTTTGCAGGAACAGACGTTTTTCATTTTCAAAGTTTCAAGTAGGTGCTCGAACAAATCTCCGCCAACTAATGAAAAGAGGTTGAAGCTATGAGAGGGAAATTTGCATCACATGGCTTCTTTCTCCTAAAAAAAAAAATCATCATCTGAAATTTGTATTAAAAATGCCTAAAAGTTTTACTGGTTCTTGTTTTTATTCTGCTCTCAAACTGCCCAGACTATACTTCAAAAGAACGTTTCATCTTGAACYTTTTGGTCTTTTGGAAAAGTCTATCTGCTTGAAACAGAAACAGACATTTTGGTCAAACTTTTGTGCTTAACCAAAGTATTTAGAACTTTATTTGGTGTGGAATAAGCATAAACTTTACATGGTATAGTTTGAAGTTTTTGTAAGTTTGATTTTGCTGTTTTATTTAAATAAGC